CAGAGGAATCCCATAGCTGACTTAGAGGTAGGTAGGTTTTGAGGCTTTCTCATGGAGTGAGTGGAGTGGTTCTAAAAAAGAATTGAGGTTTACCAAATCCTCCTACCAAATTTTGAGTGCTGCTGTACAGAGGAATGAAGGAAATATCTCCAGATGAAACAACGCAAGAAGAGCTGATGTCTATCATTAAGGAGAAGTCTGGGCATCAGCAATTAGTTGGATCACTTTATAGAGCAGTAGGATATTTGCCCAGTGATCCACAGACTAATTTGCATTTTTCAACGTGGGAGGTCTATCTCAATCCAAATCTTATCCAACTAGTGACATCATATAGACTGTCATTAATCACTAGAAGATCTCTACCTAGGAGTCCTGTCCTCCAGAGGGCCATACTAACTAACCCCTTTCTATTTAGAAATCCTGCCTGGTGATTTGGCTTTTTGCAAATTTGTGAGCCGTGTTACCCTAGAGGTAGTCCTTCTCTGACAAATAAATGCCTTGAACATAATAATAATGATAACAATTGACATTTCATAAGTACTTAATAAATTTCTGTTGAATTGAAGGATTTTAATTAATTTAATTAATAATGCCCTCTATTATACTTAGAGACTTTTGGGAATAACTTTCAAAAATAATTCAAATACAAAAATTATGTTCTGTCCTCAAGATTGGTCTTGACTTTAGTTCACTTTAGTGCCATACGTTGCCACTACTACCAATCAGTCTCTAATACTTTATGGTCATCCAGATCTGAGGAGTCTAATAACTCACCATTATTAATGTATGCACCACTAATTCTAGTAGTAGTGATGGATTTGCACTGATCCATCCACATTCTCACTGATTTCCATTTTGGCCAAGAGTAGGCAATGATTTCAGCAACAGGCTAGGGCACTAAAGTGCAATCTAACTCTGAGTCTTTATAGGACTTAGGTAAACCTCATGGCCTTCTTAGTACTGTGCTCTGACAGTACTAAGATACCATGAGAAGCAGTGGGCAAGGTAGCTAGAATGCTTACCTTGTAGTCAGGAAGCCCTGGGTTTAAGTCCTGCCTCTGACACTATCTGTACAACCACAGACAAGTCACCCTAACCTCTTAGGGCTCCCAAGCAATTCTCTAAGATTGTAAATTTCAGGAGAGTTGTGCATCTGTGTTGGTAGATGAAGTTTTCACACTATGAGTTCCCTACACTGTAGAAATCACAGATCTAGACTCTCTTCATCCCTGGGGGGGATGGAGTAAGAGATAACATGTCAGCTTTTGGGAAGACTAATGGCATTAGAAAATTGGGTGACGCTTTCAGCAAGACTAAAATGTTTATACAAATACCCATCTTTTTAACAGTAATATTCAGTCTTCCAGTGGTGCTACAGGACCATAAATCATAGAACACAACTACTAAAGAAATCAAAACTACAATAGATCAAAAGGGCATTAGAAGGCTGTGTTAGATATAAGTAGGTGTCAGCCAATACCAACGATGTCTTGCACACAAGAAGTAACATAAAAGATTCCAACCAGGAAATGTGTGTGGCCAGAAAAAGGACGTAAGTCAGTCAAGCACTGAGAATTAGGGTGGATGTATTAATAACCTGAATGCCATACTGGTACCCATAGAATTTAAAAAGACCTACATAGGAAGGCCTCCAACATATGGAGTAACATAGGTCATGGACAACAATCTGAGGGTGAAAAGATATGAATGAGTTGTCGTCTGTACCATTGGAGGGAGTACCCACATCAATGAGATCAAAGAAGTCACTGAAGTATAAGACATCATATGCTAAGAAAACAGAAGTCTCTCCCTGGAGTGAATACATTCAGTCATTCCCTAACCTACACATCCCAAACACCTCCCATGATACATTATCATGGATACCCATGAAAACTAAGGCTAAAGAAAAAGAAGATAGAAAGAAAATAGATAAATGTTCTTTTAGACCCAGTGCCTGGCTTCCAGCCCCCTCACCCTGATGGCTTTGGTATATGGGCTGTGCTTATTTTCATGAGTCACTGGCATGATGTTGTGATCAGGACAGGGAGGTAGGATTTTATGTTTATATTTTAATTATTTATTATGGAGACAAGAGAAGCAGCCAGACAGATTTACTATGCAAAGGTTTTCCAGTTGGGTGGTAAGCTCATTTATTTCAACCACATCCTTGTGAAGCGACTGGAAAATACTATGCTATGATTCACTAGAAAGGTTGAGGATGAAACATATGCCTCTTGGTTAGACCCACCGCTAGCCTCTATTGCTATCAAGAGCAAATTTCAACTCTGCAGGTGACCACCCACCATCCCCATAGCTTACGTTTCCCCTATAACTTCCTACTCCGATCTGGTGAAAATTCCAAATAAAATTGACAGGGACAAGAGTGGTGAGACACTGAAAAGAGGAGAGGAACCTCTCAGGGAAGAGCCCCTTGACCTTTGCAATTCCTTTGCAGACAAAGAATTTGAGTCAAAAGATCAGGGTTTGCCATTTTTTTCTAGCTTTGTGACCTTGAAAAATCCATTCAAATTCTGACCCTCAAGTTCCCCATCTGCAAAATGGGGGTAGCACTAAGGTGTAATGTATGTTAATGTATATGACAATGTTATATAAATTGGATATCACTATAAAAAATAAGATGTTCACATTACTATAACTACTATCACAGCTATTATTGTTGTTGTTAGCATTTACAGATTATTTTTCAACCACTCTCAGAGCCATCTAAGGTATATTCCAGCTACCCATACATTGTTAATAATAATAATAGCTAGCATTTACATATTGCTTTAGTGTTTACAAAGCACATAATATATGTTAACTTATTTGATCTTCAAAACAACCCTATGAGGTAGGTGCTATCTTTATCCCTGTTTTACAAATAAATAAACTGAGGCTGAGGGAGATTAAGCAATGTACAAGTAGTCACAGAGTTAAGTAAATTTCTGTGGTAATACTTGAACTAATTTCCTGATTTCAAATCCGATACCTTATCCACTGCACCACCCAGCTGTCTCCTGTTCTTCAAACTTCATAGACACCTATATGCTCTCTCACCATATAGCTTATTGAGTGTGAACTCCTAGACCAGTTCTATAATCTTAAACTTTTCTGCTAACATATCTTGGGGAACCAAATCCAGACTGTGCCAATGTATTGTAAGTCACTTGGAAAGGAAATAACTGACTATACACTACAAGCTGTCTCAAGATCAGATAAAAAGAAGAGAAAGCAATGGCTATAAGTAGCAAGAGATTACATGCACATATTATTCATATAGCACCTTTTGGCATGAGCTCTCAACAGGTGCATAGCCATTCTGATCATGACACCCTTTACTTCTCCCTATTGAAGCAGCTAAGTTCACAATGAAATGCTTACTTAGTACACATTTTTAGAATTATTATTGCCTATACTTTTGAAGAGACCTATCATCTCAGAGCTACAAGGCTCCATGAACAAAGGAGCTGAGCAGGCCCAACTCCCTGCATTATGGTTTGTGAAGACAAGAGCAAAACATACAAAGTGGGAAGCTCCGATGATGGAGGGATTGTTCCCTCCTGGGCCAGAAGACAAAGATACATGGTATTGGGAACCATTGTGTTCTTCTCACTCTTAGCAAAGAGATTCATGATTTGTCCAAGGCCACAAAGCTAACAAGTCTGAGGCAGGATTTGAACCCAGGTATTCCTCATGATTCCAGGTCCAGTGCTCTAGTCACTTTTCAATGCTGCCCCTTCATAAATGCGTCTTAAGTTGAATTGAACTGAACTGAATTAAGCCAAATATTAGTGAAGGTAGACACAGGTAGGGCAGCTATTTAGGATAGAATATAGCTGTGGAGAAAGAAAAGAGAAATTCTTAAAAAATAGTACTATAATAAATGCACTTTGTGGCAGAAAACACTGCCCTCCATGGCACACAGGTATTTATTGTGTAATGTCAAGTCACAAACATTACAACCAAGTCTCTAGGCTGCCAGGCCACAACAACTTATTGGGAACACCATTTTCACACTTCGCCTGGAGTACACAAATGCTTTGTCACTGTCTTTGCCTGAAGGACAGAACCATCAGAAATAGTCTTCTACACAAGAAGGAATATTTACATAATTGCTCCCTGAATTTTTCGCTGTAGAATATCTGATTCCTTGCCCCTCCCCACTTCTATGAAACATTTTCTACAGTAAATGAGAAGGCATAAAGAGTTATATATGCATTGGTGGAGACAGTACCCACACCAGAGAAATCATAGTTCCATTAAAGTATTATAAAAGAGGTATGGAAGTCTTTGAATTTCTTTGGTCCTTTAGGAGCCATAAAGATATTTCTCAATTAAAATTTGATGGCATTATAGACAGATAGCCACTGGCTGGCTGAAGAATCAGTTGTACCTCTTCTTGCCTCTGATAAGCAAGCAGGTCAGATATGCATTCAAGTAAGAAAGGAAGATTGCTGCCAGGGAAGGAATTCACCTCTGGGAGTTAAGAAGAGTCACCTAGAGAAGAAGACCACAGTTCTCAAGAAAGGCCTTTTCCCTTGGGTTTTTCCAGAGTACAGAGGTGGGGACGGTGGGGTGCAGAGAAGTATTTCTCTTTCCTCTCCCATGTGTATAATATGGCCTCTTGCAGAGGTCCATTAAGAGATAACCTCACTCATCTGAGAACATTCAAGAAAGAGTAAGGCCTAGCCATCGGGAGTTCGGCTGCAGAGAGGAGCAATCAATCAACAAATAATTATTAAGCTTTTTCTGGAGGGCAACAAGGTGGTACAGTGGATAACCCGCTAGCCCTGGAGTCAGGAGGACCTAAGTTTAAGTTACTTAACCCCATTGCCTAGGAAAAAAAAAAAAGATTTTTTGATGTACCAACCAATCTATAAAACTGAGGATTCAAAGAAAAGAACAAAAACAAGGTCCATCCCTCAAGGAACTCGAATTCTAATGAGGAAACAGCATTACATAAATAGATACATACAATACACAGAGAATAAATAGGTTACCTTAATAAGGCAAGCTCAGCAGCTGGGAGGACTAAGAAAGGTCTCCTTCAGGAGGCAACATTACAGCTGAGTCTTGTTAGGGGTGGAAGAGCATTCCAAACATGGGATCAGCCAATGCAGAGGCACAGAGACCTAAGATAGAATTTATGTGTGAGAAACAGCAAATAAGTCAAATGGCTCTATCACAGAGGATAGTCATATATAAGAAGACTGGAAATGTAGGAAGGGGCAAGGTTACAAAGGACCTTAAAAATCAAACATTACAATTTATCTAGACATAACAGGGAGCCATTGGAGTTTGTTGAGGGAGGGGGGAGGTGTCACATGGTCAGAGCCACACTTAAGGAAAATCACTTTAGTAGCTACATGGAGGATGAATTGAAGTGGGAAGAGATTTCAGACCAAGAAACTAATCATAATGCTATTACAATAGTCCAAGTGAGAAATAAAGAAGTCCTGGAATTAGGTGGTAGTGAGTAGAGAAAAGGGGGCATATATAAGAGCTATTATGGAGGGAGACATGAAAAGATTTTTCAACTCACTGAATAAGACTGAGGAGTCAAGAATGTCAGCAAAGTTGCTAAGTGGGTGCCTGGGAGGATGGTGGTGCCCTTGACAATAATAGGAAACTTCATTAGAAGAGTATATTTGGGGTAAAAAATGTCTTATTTGAATATGTTGAGTTTGAGGCTCCTATGGGACACTGAGCTAGATATGTCTAACATATAGTGTTTGCAGGACTAGAATTCAGAAAGAAGACCAGAGCTGAATATGGAGATCTGGGAATCATCTGCATAGAGATGACATTTGGGGGCTAGGTAGCACAGTAGATAGAGTACTGGCCCTGGAGACAGGAAGACTTGAGTTGAAATCCATCCTCATATACTTCCTGTGTGACCCTGGGCAAGTCATTTAACAGAAAAAGAAAAAGAGACATTTGAACCCATGGAAACAGAAGAGATTTTAGACAGAAAAGAGAAAAGGATCTGGGACAGCACCTTGGGCGATATCCACAGACAGTGGGTGTGAAATGAATGGAGATCTAACAAAGTAGACCAAGAAAGAATAATCAGACAGATAATGAAGAACCAAAAGAGAAAAATCAGAGAGAAGAGAGCATCAGGGAGGAGATGATGGGCAACAATGTCAAATGATGAAATCAAAAGGATCAGAACTGAGAAAAAGCCAGTAGACTTGTCAACTAAGAGATCATAGATAACTTTGGAGAGAGATGTTCAATTGAATGATGGTGTCAGAAGACAGGTTGTAAAGGGTTTAGAAGAAAGAAGAGAGGAAATGGAAGCAATGAGGAAAGAAAATTTTTCAAGAACTTTAGCAAAGTTGAAGAGAGATACAGAACAACAACTAGAAGAGATATTGGGGTCTAGTGAAAGAATTTCTTTTAAGGACAAGGAAATTTTTTTAAATAGTATTTTATTTTTTCCAATTACATGTAAAGATAATTTTGACCATTCATTTTTTAAATTTTGAGTTCCAAATTGTTCTCCCTTCCTCCTCCCCCTCCCCAAAATGGCAAGCAATTTGATATAGGTTGCTGCTGCTTGCTGTTTGTTGATATGGGAGATAGATAGATAGATAGATAGATAGATAGATAGATAGATAGATAGATAGATAAATGGATGGATAGATATACACATACACATATATGTGCATATACACATATATACATATATATATATGTATGTATATGCAATCATGTAAAATATTTCCATGACGGATAGGGAAACTTGCTCATGTTTGTAGGCATCAGAGAAAGAGCTAATAAGAGAGAATGAAGATCAGGAGTAGGAATGATAGTGGGGGTAATTTGCTGGAGAAGGCTAAAGGAAAAGAAATCAATGGCACATATGGACAGTTTGGTCTTAGCAAGATAAAAGACCATCTCTTCCTCAGAGAATGGAGTGAAGGAGGAGGTAATGGGGGATGACATCAGAGAAATGTGAGATCAATTAATGGGAAGGAAAAGGGAATATGAGTTTATTAAGCACCTATTATGTGCCAAGCATTTGCTCAATTCTTTAAAATATTATCCCATTTAATCCTGAGAACAACTTTGGGAGGTAAATACTACTATTATCCTCAGTTGAGGAAACTGAAGCAGGGAGAGGTTAAATTACATATCTAAGGTGATACAGCTAGTAAGTATCTGGGGCTCGATTTGAAATCCTGACTCTAGGCCAAGCTCTCTATCCACTGAGCCGCCTCGCTGACACCGATTGAGATAACATGCCTAAAGTGCTTTGCAAACTTCAAAGCCCTAAGTAAATACTAGCTATTACTATGAGATAAGGAAAAGCAGGAGCTCTTAGAGAGTAACCCAGATTTTTTTTGTTAGATTCTTTTAATGGTATTTTTTTTTCAATTTTGTGTAAAGGTAATTTTTAACATTCATTTTTACAAAATTTTGAGTTCTAAATTTTTCTTCCTCTCTCCCCTCCCCTCTTCCTAAACCAGTAAGCAATTTGATATAGGTTATGTATGTGCAATCATGTAAAACGTATTTCCATATTAGTCATGTTGCAAAAGAAGAAACAGACCAAAAGGGAGGGGTGGGGTAGGAAACTAAAATAAAATAAAATTAAGAAAGTGAGAATAGTATGCTTCAATCTACATTCAGAATCCATAGTTTTTCTCTGGGTGTGGACAGCATTTTCCATCATAAGCCCTTTGGAATTGTCTTGGATCATTGTATTGCTGAGAGGAACCAAGTCATTCATAGCTAATCATCACATAATGTTGCTGTTATTGTGTACAATGTTCTCTTGGTTCTGCTCATTTCACTTTACATCAGTTCATGTAAATCTTTCAAGGTTTTTTCTGAAGTCCACCTGCTCATCATTTCTTATAGCACAATACTATTCCATTACATTCATATACCACAGCTTGTTCAGCCATTCTCCAATTGATGGACATCCCTTCAACTTCTAATATTTTGCCACCATGAAAAGGGCTGCTATAAATGTTTTTGTGCCTGTAGGTCCTTTTCCTTTTTTCATGACCTCTTTAGGATATAGACCTAGTAGTGGTATTGCTGGATCAAGGAGTATGTACAGTTTCATTGCCCTTTGGGCATTGTTCCAAATTGCTCTCCAGAATGGTTGGATCAGTTCACAACTCCACCAATAATGCATTGGTGTCCCAATTTTCTCATATCCTTTTCAACATTTATCATTTTCCTTTTCTGTCATATTAACCAATCTGATAAGTGTGAGGTGGTATCTCAGAGTTGTTTTGATTTGCATTTCTCTAATGAAAAGTGATTTAGAGCATTTCTTTGTATGACTATAGATAGTTTTGATTTCTTCATTTCAAAACTGCCTATTCATATCCTTTGACCATTTATCAATTGGGCAATGATTCATAGTCTTATAAATTTGACTCAGTTCTCTATATATTTGAGAAGTGAGACCTTTATCAGAGACATTTGCTGTAAAGATTGTTTCCTAGTTTCTGCTTCCCTTCTAATCTCAGTTGCATTGGTTTTGTTTGTGCAAAAAAACCTGAACTTAATATAATCAAAATTATCTATTTTACATTTTGTAATGCTCTCTATCTCTTGTTTAGTCATGAATTCTTCCCTTCTCCGTAGATCTGACAGGCAAACCATTCCCTGCTCTACCGATTTGCTTATGGTATCACCCTTTATATCTAAATCATGTACCCATTTGACCTTATCTTGGTATATGGTGTAAGATGCTGGTCTATATCTCATTTCTGCCATACTGTTTTCCAGTTTTCCCAGCAGTTTTTGTCAAACAGTGAGTTCTTATCCCAGAAGTTGGTGTCTTTGGGTTTATCAAACACTACGTTACTATGACCATTTACTACTATGTCTTGTACACCTAATCTATTCCACTGATCCACCCCTCTATTTCTTAGACAGTACCAGATAGTTTTGATGGTTGCCACTTTATAATATAATTTGAGATCTGGTACTGCTAGGCCTCCTTTCTTTCCTTTTTTTCCATTAATTTCCTTGGTATTCTTGGTGGCCCAGATTTTTTTTAGTTATGAGTGTAACCAGAGCAGATTTAGGTCTTTGTCAAGTATTGAGGGATGAAGGAATTCAAGGTTATGGTGAGGGTGAATGTGGTTAGGGAAAGTAAGGTGTAGGGAGAGATGGAATGATAAAAGATTATGATCTGGACCTAGCTGCCCAGCAGATACGTAATACCATGAGGGAACACTATAAGGCTACTCTGAGAAAAGATAGTAGTACCCTACAGTGCCAGTCATCAGTTTCCTTAGCCACACATGTTTCCTACATATGTGCATCTCTACTAATGCATTTTGTGTGTGTGCCCACTTTTCCCACTGACACCGTGTCTCTTTGTGACAGATGTATTCTCAGTTTATGGGGAGGATGTTGTGTTACTATTGCTCATGCTATGCCACTTCATCAAATGCCTTTGCTCTGAGCTAATTGTGTCAATTAGCTGCTTCTCAAAGGTACACATAAGTGGGGCTCCTGAGCTATAGTTTTAGGACTGCAGACCTACAGAGTACCAGAAATCCAGGATAGTAGTCATCCAGAGAACACAACCTGTGAATTCAAGTGGTGGGGGGAATCCATAGAGGGGTTGCTGTAGTATTAAAATACAGCTATCAGCAAATGACCATCACTTTCTTCAAAACCTGCCCCCCCCAAAAAATTAATATTTTCCAGAAATCATTCTCTGATTATCAGAAGTTGGTATTTGGTTCATATGGCATCATTTTGTACATACTTATATGCTGTTTTATAAGTGTTCCTAAGTTTTCTGGGGTTTTTTTCTTCCCTTACTAGATGGTGAATTTCTACAGGCAACCACAGGCTGAGAGAGAAACTTATCCTTTCACTGAGAGTATCAGTATCAAATGCCGTCTCCTGCACCCACAGCTCAGGTTATGGCAGGGTCAGGACCAGACCCAGATTTCTTGATCAATTTATTCAGTGTTCTTTCTACTACATCTTTATCTTAAAGCTATGCTGAGACCTGGAACTTTTCAGTATTATTGGTTTCATATTTCACAGTTTGCCATTCTCTGTGAATTCTGAAAGCAAGCTCTTGAAAAGCCAGTAAGAGAATCATCATGCTGACTTTTCAGAGGGCTGCAAAAGATAAGCTAGG